GATAGTCTCTTCCACCCAGTCTGGAGTGCAGTGGCACAATCATGGCTCACGGCAGTCTTGAACTCCTGAGCTCGAGTAATCCTCCTGCCTCAGTCTCCTGTGTAGCTGGGACTACAGGTGTATGCTACTATGCTCAGCTTATTTTTACAAAAAAATTTTGAAGAGACAGGTTCTTACTATGTTGCCCAAGTAGGTCTCAAACTCTGGGCTTCAAGCAATCCCCCACCTCAGCCTCTCAAAGTGTTGGGATTACAGACATGAGTCTCTGCACCTGGCCAATATACTATTTTCTATATAGAGTTAATGCATAAGAACATTCTAAGGTCTTTTGCCATCTTTAACAAAACTTGACTATATTTTGGTTGCCCCTTTATGTCCCATAATTATCTGTTCTTTCAGCAACTCTGACAGTTGTAGTTCCTTTGCCATGGCAAAGTTTCATATTTAATTTTTTTAAGATAAAAAAACTTGTATTCACAGGTTGGATGGTCAATGTGATTTAGACTTGATGTTATTTTTATTACAGTGGCATAAACACATGCTGTTAATTAAAACAGAAAAATCCAGCATCATAGGTCTTAAATGCTTGGCTTTAACCCATTATAGCCTGAAAAATACAGTGGGTACAGAACAGATAAATGCATCCCCCTCCCACCTCCACGCACACACACAAATTAATCTGCACATTTTGAATATAAGCTATTGTATGGTGTAAATTGTTTTTTCCCTAATTTGAGCCTCGAGGGCTACTTGGCTATATATATGATCCCCAATACAGGGGGAATTTCAGATTTGTCACACGACTATGTTTCACTCCAACTTCATTTTTAATGCCACTATTCAAAATATATACATTAAAAAATCTGAGGATGTTCAAGTTCCTTATGTAAGTTGGCCTGAAATTTGCCTATAACCCATGCATATTCTTTCACATACTTCATATCATCTCTAGATTACTTATAACACATAATACAATGTAAATACTGTGTGAATAGTTGTTATATTATATTGTTTTATTTGTATTATTTTTTATTGTGTTGTTATTGTTTTTAAAAATATTTTCAACTTGAGGTTGGCTGAGTCTGTGGTTGGTTGAATCGGCGGATGTGCAACCTATAGATAGTGGGAGTTGACTGTATGTACTCTTCAAGTTTAAGGAAAAAATAGTGACAGCCTTATATGAGTGTTTAAATTTTCATTTTAAAAATACTGCTTTCTGCATTTTCTTCTTAAAGGTGTATCTTTTAAGTCCAAAGAAAAAATTTAGATGCTGCTGACTGTTTACAATTGGATTCAGCTAAATGGTGTTATTCCATAAATTCAGGTATACTTATATGTATCTATTAACCCTGGAAGCACCAATGCATTTATAAATCTTTTGGTTTCACTGTGAACAGAAGAGGCTAAGAAGTCATTTACATTTTATCTTTAGCCCCTCTGTGGCTATGCAGAGGAGAAAGGGGAATAAGTTGAAGATGGTTGAAAGATTGTTTAAGATGGAAGCAGAGAAACTTTTCCAGTTTTTATTGGGGTATCTAAATACTAGATCCAACTCTTGTATTGGTCCTTGCCCAAGATTTCCTGTGTAAGCTATTCTTTAGTAACAAAAAATTATAGTACAGTAACTATCACTATATCCAATAAACTTCTCAAGTTATAGCATATAGACAGGTATTACAGTAAAATTACATGTATGTTAGAATATTGCACAAAATATAGATAATAAAATGTATATACATCCCATTTATCTCATATCTTTCCAATCTATTCACCACACTGCAACCAAAATGACCATATCATTCATTTCTTAAAATACTTTAGTGATTAGGAATCATTCTTAGAATAAATATGTAGATCATCACACATGGTCTATAAGGTGCTAATGGTTTGCCCTCTTACTAGCTCTCCAGCCTAATCTAATGCTCTATTCCTGTTTATTTTCCTTGCTCAAGTTTCACTACTTTCAATTTCTGGAACACACCAAACTGCTCCCCACCCCCAATATATATGTATACACACACACACACACACACACACGGCCTTTGGGGCCCTAAATAGTGTTTCTCCTCCCTTTGGATAAGCTCCTTGACCACCAAACCACCCTCCTGCAAACCGTTTCTTCAGTTGTAGTTTCTTTGTCATTGCAATTTAGTGTTTCTGGAAGCTTCCTTCAAACCATGCTCCAACCTTTGTCTAATTAACTCCTACTTATCCTTCTGTAATTCTTGTTGCTTTTTCCAGATTACTTTCCCTGAACTTGGCACCCAATTTGTTAAACTCCCACAGAACATTTGTCTTATTTGAAATTCCTATGTAGTTGTAGTTTACATTACATGTTTGATTACAGTGACTAAGAGGTGTTCTTCATTTTTTTTTTTTTTTTTTGAGATGGAGTCTTACTCTGTCACCCAGACTGGAGTGCAGTGGCGTGGCCTCAGCTCACTGCAACCTCTGCTTCCCAGGTCAAGCGATTCTCCTGCCTCAGCCTCCCAAGTAGCTGGACCTACAGGTACCCGCCACTATGCCCAGCTAATTTTTGTATTTTTAGTAAGAGATGGGGTTTCACATATTGGTCAGGCTAGTGTTGAATCCTGACCTCAGGCGATCCACCCGCCTCCGCCTCCCCAAAGTGCTAGGATGACAGACATGAGCCACCATGCCTGGCCTGTCTCTCAAATTTTCAACTACAATACTAGCCTAAGAATAGGGACTGTGTCTGCTTTTACTTGGCCCCACGCTGTCCTCAAAACAAGTCGTGCAATTCCAGAAAATTTTATTGAATAAAATTTATTTCAAATATGTAAATTTTAAAAATCTCATTCTTGTGTTGTATTTTCTCATTCCTGAATATATTAATGAAAACCATTAGTAGAACTTTTTGTCCTTTTCAAGAAATCTTATGGATCTATATGATTTCTTTGGGAATCTACTTTTGTATTTTGGAAGGTTCTAGATCAATAAATTCCTTCCTTTTACCAATGATGAATTCCCATGGCTGAAGTAAAAACCCATTTTCTTTTAATAAATTCCAGGATCTAGAAAGCGAGTAGGCTGCCAC